CACACATTCGAGATGAAACCCGCCCTCGTTTGGATCCTCTCGCTTCAAATTTTGCAGCTCGCAACTGCCTCAGATACACTTTAAGAGGCTATTGAGACACTAGTAATTTTGTAAAAGGGAATATTATTCAACCAGAATACAGAATTACAGTTAACCGAAAAGTTCATGATCGATTTCTTGGTACTTTTTTAACAGTTCAATATCATAATTCTTCACTCTCTCAAAGAAAGACCGAAAACTTGAACCGATCTCTGGATAACTCCTACCTTGTACTGACAGCTGAACTTTTCTACAAACTTCAACCCCAACGATAGCAAGTACAATACCGACTGGATGACAGCTGGAACACAAAGTTGAAAACAAATTTAGACAATCAATCTGAAAACAAACGAAATTGGTTAACAACATGCTCATGCAGAGGATGACATCATGCTAGGTACAAGGGAAAAACAAAACATTAGAGCGACAAATAAATTAATATAAACCATCTTTAACAGAACTACTCTAATGTTTTTTTTTGTGCTCTAAATCCACTAAGTTCGCCAAGTTCTCTAATTTCTTCTTCAAACTCTCCCTTCTTCATTGATGCTTTTGTTTCTAGCTCCTCTTCTAAATCTACGTGCTAAATCAATTATCCATCTATGATGATGCTAAATTTAATATGATCCTAGCTCTTACTCCACTTCCTTCTACTACGTCTTCTTCTATACTACACAATTTATTCTTATCTGTACATGCTACAATGCTATCTCCACTATATACACAGATCTTTCCCTCACAACAGAGACCACGTTCGCTCAACACAGTCTTGTTGAAACACATCATTCTTTCTGAAAACTCTCATCTCAAATAACGTAATTTTTATATATAAATTCTAAAACCTTGCTTGAAGAAAATCGTGGATCACAAAAAAAACGAGCCGGAAACCTTCCCAAAGTCGGGTAGTGTGACTGCCTATAGCCATCATCACTCGCATAACTTCAAAGCTATCTGTCCCCTTTAATCTTATAAATATTTGCCGTCATTATTTTTTCAGAATTGTTTACGTCCTTATCTGGTGCTTTACCTACATTTGTTGACTAGCGTGGTAACTCAGGACTTTCTCCAAAGGAGTTTCAACTGATTTTTGAATAGCTAGAAACGTTAATACTTAACACATTATACTACTCGTCAGTCAATTATACCCCAAGTCAAATCTTCCATGGAAGAATACCAGTCAAGCCCATAGACATCCGGTTTGGAATAGATAAACAAACTGGGAAAAAACTGACATACGACCATACAGTTGGCTTGCACGACACCATGATGAACACATACGAAAATACAAAAACCAGTATCATCTAAGCATACCACCGCAACGATCGCGAAGTCAACGCTAAACCTCTGGAATTACAGTTACATTTTCTACTTCTCAACCCAATTCTGTCTACGCACAATGACTTAGCGGCCAAAGCATATCAACTGAGGCTGCCACTCTATCGAATTGAAAAGGTCTTGACTTCCTCTAACTACATCATTCCTAAGATAGGAACCAACTCTACTCAATGCGTTCACCGGCTCCGCCTGAAACCGATTGTACCTTAAGCTCCCACTGGGGACATCGAGGTTATTGATCCGACAAAATTCACCGCGGATCCTTCAGATCGGAACCAAAATTCTTAACGCAAACGGATCAACCACAAACAGATAATGCGACCCACATCAGGATTTTGTACGTTGACCTTCATCACTAGCACTGGCGCCAGATCCACTTTTACCCGATTCACCAGTTCCAGCAGTAGCAGAACAAAGAGAGATCCCAGTAAACCCACCAATAGGAAACAACATCGATGCGGGAAATAGAGATGATCTACCAGTTTTCCCAGAACCAATGCACTTGCCACCTGGGAATGTACAAGAAACTGGTGCAGAACTAGAAGATCACCATCAAATCGCAAATACTCGCGACAAAACAGCGGAACCAAACACAGAAGGAAGCAAATTACTCACTCCGAGACGAAGATCATCGTCTCTTCCTTTAACGCGGAACAGCCATGAACTGTTTACCTCGGTTCCGACTGCAAGACATCAACTCAACATACCACACGAAGACCTTCAAGCGCGCAAACTACGAACACGGAAAGTTATCTTTGCAGAACAATTACCAAATACATCACGAGCAGACACTTCTCCATTACGTGGACGTCTACTACATGGAACCAAAGAACAGAAACATTCGAAACTGACAACACTTCTGAAGATGCTACGACAAACAGAAACTCCGCATGTCGCAACGCCAGAGAAATCAACCATATCTTCTAGCAACAAGCAGTCTACACAACGGAAAACAAATAAGGTCAACAGTATTGGACGAGACGACTCGTCAAAAAAATCTTATCATTTGGCTTTGTAAAAAACCTTCTACAATTTATCCCATCAGAGGAAGCAGTCAAAAATTTGTACAATTTTGACATTATGCAGATATCTCCACATTTGAAATCATTAGACATCATAAACAAAAAAGTCCCGTCTGGAAGTTTTTTTTGTTTTATTTTACAACAATAATCACCGAAATTGGATATTCACACCCGTCCTTAGCCGATACCCAACAGATCAACCGTCTCCTCATCACCTAGAAACATGCATACAGCATCTCAAGAAGTTTATGGAAAGACGAAATATAGCATCAGTATCAATTCTAAAGGATGGCCTCAATTTCGATGAGGACACATGGATTAGTCTTGTCAATCACATTTCAAAGACTTTTCACAATTTGGACAGGATCATCAAAGTGTACTACTAACGACTCACTGCAAACAACAGTGACATCTACGGTCAACCTTTTACCTCCTTGGTCTAGTCTTCATAGAAGAACATGGAAAAGTTTTCACATAGTCATGGCCCCAACCGGCATCACCTAAACGAGTTGGCCCCTTCGACATTTAACCATAACACACATTAGGTTAACTTTTAGTGGCTAATACAAACCATGCTGGATGGAAGACTGTACACTAACTTACAAAGATAGAAAGACAGCCAAATTTGAATGCGAGCAACCTCTCACGCAGCAAATAGCAGCAAACTTTAACCAAACAATAAATAGTTTCACTCACACATTCGAGATGAAACCCGCCATCGTTTGGATCCTCTCGCTTCAAATTTTGCAGCTCGCAACTGCCTCAGATACACTTTAAGAGGCTATTCAGACACCAGTAACTTTGTAAAAGGTAATATTATTCAACCAGAATACAGAATTACAGTTAACCGAAAAGTTCATGATCGATTTCTTGGTACTTTTTTAACAGTTCAATATCATAATTCTTCACTCTCTCAAAGAAAGACCGAAAACTTCAACCGATCTCTGGATAACTCCTACCTTGTACTGACAGCTGAACTTTTCTACAAACTTCAACCCCAACGATAGCAAGTACAATACCGACTGGATGACAGCTGGGACACAAAGTTGAAAACAAATTTAGACAATCAGTCTGAAAACAAACGAAATTGATTAACAACATGCTCATGCAGAGGATGACATCTTGCTAGGTACTAGGGAAAAGACAAATTATTAGAGCGACAAATAAACTAATATAAACAATCTTTTACAGAACTACTCTATATAATGTTTTTTTTGTGCTCTAAATCCACTAAGTTCGCCAAGTTCTCTAATTTCTTCTTCAAACTCTCCTTTCTTCATTGATGCTTTTGTTTCTAGCTCCTCTTCTAAATCTACGTGCTAAATCAATTATCCATCTATGATGATGCTAAATTTAATATGATCCTAGCTCTTACTCCACTTCCTTCTACTACGTCTTCTTCTATACTACACAATTTATTCTTATCTGTACATGCTACAATGCTATCTCCACTCAGAGATCTTTCCCTCACAACAGAGAACACGTTCGCTCAACACAGTCTTGTTGAAACACATCATTCTTTCTGAAAACTCGCATCTCAAATAACGTAATTTTTATATATAAGTTCTAAAACCTTGCTTGAAGAAAATCGTGGATCACAAAAAAACGAGCCGGAAACCTTCCCAAAGTCGGGTAGTGTGACTGCCTATAGCCATCATCACTCGCATAACTTCAAAGCTATCTGTCCCCTTTAATCTTATAGATATTTGCCGTCAATATTTTTTCAGAATTGTTTACGTCCTTATC